TTTTTTTTTTTTTTTTTTTTTTTTTTTTTTTTTTTTTTTTTTTTTTTTTTTTTTTTTAATAATAGCACGTGGAATTGAAATTTTGATTAAAAGTGTTCGTGGATTGAGATGAATCAGATTGAGATAGTTTTTAAATTTAGCGAAAATGTTCGAGAGTGGTAAATTTTTTAAACTAAAACAACCCTTATAAAATTAGTTTTTAAAATATATATTCAAATTGAGTTATGAATCTGAAGGTTAAAAAAATAAATAAACATATACTTTCCTTAAAAATAAAAATTTAAATAAATAATTCCAATCATCTAAACAACTTAATAAAAGAATAGAATTATTTTGATTTAAAAAATGTCACAACTCGATCCAACTCAACCCATAAATACTCTGATCAACTAATTTAAACATAAATTTGTTTAAATTAATAATTTGATTGACCATATCCAATTAAATTGAAACTAACCCAAATTATGAAATCAAGTTGTTATTTAAACTATTCTCTATACACTTACTACACATAATATATATATATATATATATTTAATTTTATAATTATTGAAAAGACAGGATATGAAAGAAGTGAGTAGAATGTCTTAATTATAATATCCAATTTAAAATCTTAATGTCCATAAATTATTTGATAAAATGAGAACCACACACATGCTTAGAAAGTCCACTTTGAATCAAACTTCTCATTATCTTCAACTAACTTAACCTTCCAACTTGCTTTGCTTTTTGCTTCTTTCTTCACCAAATGTGGTGAATGGCCGCTGATCAGACACATACTATCTTTTAAAAATGTATTTGCTAGGGAGAAGTTTGTACATACTTATAAAGAGTGTTTTGTTCTCCTCTACAATTGAGGTGGGATCTTATATAACATCCCTCCTTTTTAGAACCAGAAGACGGAAGAAACAAAACCCTATGTGTATATTTGTTGCTTAGAAAAAATTCCAGAGGTTTCCAGTACCATGATCGGCTCCGTCGTCATCACCACCATGATTATTGAAACGGGGAGGGCTAAGAAGCATTCCTTCAGCCATATTCATTAGAATATTAGGCATATCAAAAATCAAGTCCTCGTCCATGAAATGATTTCGCACTTCCCCTGGATCATTACTACGGCCACCGTGAAAACCACTTCTTGCCTCGATGGCGGCTGCTGCGGCACCAAGCGCAGCGGCGGCAGAGGCGGCTGCAGCCTGAATATCAGAGGGTGAACGTGAAGCAGGAACAGGGAGAGAGGACGCGGAATTGGGGAAATTGAGGTGGGTGTCGTGGCCCTTGAGAGCAAGGGCAGCAACGTCATAAGCCACAGCCGCCATTTCAGCTGTCGGGAAGGTTCCCAACCAAATCCGATTTGGCTTCCGGGGCTCGCGAATTTCCGACACCCATTTGCCTGTGTTGCGGCGTCGAACGCCGCGGTAAACGGGGTGGCGGCCGGAAGTAGCCATGGAGGAGGTGAATTGAAGGGAAAAGTGAGGAGGAGGAGGGGAGGGGCGGTGGGGTTGAAGAGATGGAGAGAAGGCATTTATGGAGGAAGAAAAAGGGAGGGGGAAATGGCGGAGGAGATGAGTGCAGACCAGTTGGAGATGAACTAAGTTCTGATGAGGGTTGGGGTGGCAGCCATTGGAGGAGACAGCTTGGAGATTTTGGGGACGAGATAGAGAGAAGGATTTCCAATTTTTGGAACAGTGGAGGATTTATATGTTAATATTACTCAATTATATGGAGAATTTCTATTTTTTTTTTTTTTTTTGAAAGGTTGAGTATTAAAAATAACCGTCCGATATGCATGCACAAACAAAACATGCATGCATATATGAGGGACCTAAATTAATGAAGAAATATAGTAGCAGATGCCACAGTATAATGAACAAAAGTATATCAACGTGTCACAATATCTTATGTTCAAAGGTGTGAATAAATATGAAATTATTATTACTAACAGCTACAACTAAAATAATGAACTGTTTCCTAGCTCCTACAAAAACTCTAAAATAAAATATTCCTATTAATAAGGAGGACTGGCTTAATAACTGTGACTAATTTCATCTAGAATAACTTTGCACTAATTTTGACACAAACTACTACATGTGTAACGACCCTACCAAATATTGTGATGTCCCACATTGGTTGGGAGTAAAGAGAACAAACCACCATTCATAAACGGTGTGAAAACCTTGCCGTGTTTTAAAGCGTGTTGAGAGGATCCCGAAAGGGAAAGCCCAAAGAGGATAATATCTGCTAGCGGTGGATCTGGATTGTTACAACATGTTAGGCAAAATTGAAAGAGTTAGAGTTTGACGTGTGATCAAGAATCGATGAATTGTTGACTGTGGTTGGTAAGATTCAGAGATCAACATGCTACTAGTATTTGTGGTTGTTGTGCAGAGTGTTACAATCATGCTTGTCCAAAACATGTTGTATGTGGCCGCGTGTCGAATGTCTCTGTCAGTCTCGGTCATGCTTGTCCAAGTCCCTTTACTTGGATTAATGTTAGAAAGACTTTTATTATTTTTGTTACGTCAATATGGAGGTGTATGATAGGTCACCAAAATCATGTCTACACGTGGTTAAAATACTCCAAAATTTACTATATGAGGATGTAACTTATCCGCTTTTGCCTATAACATTCTGAGATTCGCTCACTTTTTCTTTCAAATTGTTTTCAACGAAGTCTAAATCTCACACGGGTGACTTGTTCGCTGGGTTAGAACAAGTGTCATAAAATTATTGTCCCATTGCAACAAGAGTGTAGTTGTGACACAGAGTGCAACACCAAAAGGATGGTATTAGAAAAAGGTGATAGGAGTTGATGGTGAGCGACTAGTCGAGAAAATCGAGAAGCAAAGTTGGCTTACCTCGAACAATTACATTGATATTAACCAAATCAGATGTAGAGATTAGGTTAGCGTGCATAACAATTATAAACTTCAATCAAATTTTAAATACATCATGCTTGGCATAATGCAATTGTTAGATGAAAGTGTCCCACATTGATTAAGTTAGGGAATGGTCATGGGTTTATAATCTAAGAATATACTCTCTATTGGTATGAGGCCTTTTGGGGAAGCTCAAAGCAAAGCCATGAGAGCTTCTGCTCAAAGTGGAGTCCTGTTCATCTAACAAGCAACAACCCAATCGTAAAGCTTAATTAATAAAATAAACGATTTAATTAATTTTAATAAGCTCTTTAATCATTTACTTTTAATATCTTTCCACAATTGCTCTAAATTGGAAGGATTTCACTTAAGCCATTAAATTTTTACAATTTTTTTTTTAAAATTATACATTTCTTTAATCATTTGCCTTTTTTTTAAAAAAAAAAATATATTTTCTAAAGAAAATACCTAAAAAATGATTTTCTTTTAAAAGAAATCATTGTAAAATAAAAATTTAAAATGAAAATAAATAAATAAATTATAATAATAATAATAGTAGTAGGTTATAAGTCCTAAATTATTATTATTATTATTATTATTATTATTATTATTGTTATTATTATTATTTAGTGTAAGCCTCTAATTAACTTGCATGTGAAGTTAAATCGACAGTAGAGACTAATCACCTAATTAAAGTAGTGGTTTTTCTAACTTCACCATCGTTCTACTTTTTAAAATATTTTAATTTCTACAATTTATAAAAATTATTTTTAAATGTTTTTTTAAATACTGCTTTTTAATTTATTTTATTATAGTATTGATATAGTATTTCTTCTTATTATTATTTTTTAAAAAAAAGATGCAATTTTTGTTATGTTCTTCAAATGGTCTAAAAATTAGAGGTGAAATTAGAAGAGAATATATGAACTAAAAATTTAGAGTCGGAGATGAAGCACGGGATTGATTTAATTGATTTGTCAACCTCAATATCTCTCGGCCTCTAGTCTTGAGTAAAGATTGTATATCTGATTCTCGAGTCAAGCCGAAAAATTTAGTGTACCATTTACTTTAGATGAGTCTTAATAAAAAAAAAAATGAAAAGACAGGCGCGTGAAATTATTAAAAGCTTGTTCGTGGGACGCGTTTGTTTGGAGCAGTTTCAAATTGATAGAACGTTCATTCATGAACTTAGAAAATAAAAATAAAAACATTTCCTTTTCAAGTCTTAGTCAGTTTGAGACCTGAAAGACAAGCTTTTACCATTTTCCAAGAAAGGAGACGAAATTTCCTTTTGATATTGCATATTATTCATTCATTTTTTTAATAACTTTTTTATTTTATTTTATTTACCAATATTATTTAAAATTTTAATCAAATAATCTTATAACTTCTAAATATACTAACTATTTTCACATGGATTTTTTCGTGCATTGGGAGAAATAGTTTTTTGAAACGATTGAAATGAATATCACGATGATATTTTATGTGACGAGTATTTTTTATCGAGAATGTAGCTATTCCATATTACTAAGATAGTTTTTTCCACGTTCAAATGAGTGACGACCATTTATCACGAGGGGACCTATTTGGAATGAGGTAGAAAATCTCCTTTCAAAAGGGGAATGAGAGAGAGAACGGGAGAGATATTATTATTTTTTTTCTTTTCACCGTTAACTAAACCTAGATGACCCTACTAAAACCCCGCCCCACCTTGACCCTGCTAAACCGGGATGGGCACAAAGGTTTTATTTATTTATTTATTTATGTAAAAAAAAAAAATACACAATTTTTAAAATATATATATAGATATAAAAGATGAGAATTAAAGTAGAAGACACGGACGAAGACAGAAAAAGTTTTTTATTCCGGCTCCATTCATAGATATCTCTAATTAAAATGCAAATTATTTAAAATGTACAAAATTCAAAATATAAAAAATATATAAATAAAAGATAAAAGAGTGACTAATTATCCGACAAAACTATAATTAATTTTGTACTTTTGTATTTACGTCATGTTTTTTTTAATGTTTTTAACATTTTCAAAGGCTATATACTATATTTTCAGGGCCTGCCATTCGGCCCATTTCATAGAATTTGGGCCAAAGCCCAACTCAAGATTGGGCTTTTCCTTTTTTACATGGAAATCCACTAACTCTTCCATCTTTATATTGCCCTGCCTCACTCATTTTATTTTTTATTTCTTCCCCTCCCATCAATTAAAATTAATTATATAAGAAATTTCAAGACTTTATTGTCAAATTATTTTCGTGTCGGAATTAGATTTTAAATATCGACTCAAAAATATATAATTTAAAATAAAATAAAATGACTTTAGTAAAAGAAGAATTAAGACTTTATACACTAAATATTTCAAAATTGAACACAAAAAAAAGAGATTAGAAGGAATAAATCAAAAAAAAAAAAAAAATCAAATTAGGAATGTATTTTAAGGGAAGTTTAGTAGTTGATGTGATTGATGATTTAAACGCAAGATTCTTTTGTCATTAAAAAAATATATATAATCCCTTTAATTAGTACTTGGGAAATTAAAGTCAACAACTTTGTTGTAGTTCATCATTATTATTATTATTATTATTACTCTCTCCTTATTCCTTTTTTACCCAACTTGGTTGGTAGGGTTGCCAAATCATTATCATTTTCTCGTTATCATGCATTAACATCTAAAAGTTCACGGATTTATTCAACTCCGTCATCGATGGATATCTATAAATTGATTTGCTATCATTCTTCAAATCAATGGGTGTTCATATGATAGAGCTAATATGTTCAAATCAAGGGATGAGTTATTGAGTGCATGGAAGTCCATGATAGTGGGTGCAGAAGGGCGGTGTTTTGACCGTTTGATTTTTGAATGAAATCTGGGAAATCCAAATCTAGAAAAAGGCGAAAAAGAAGGGGTCAATTTTGGAATAATAAAAAATAGGGAGAAGTGGGGGCGATGGGGAGAGGGTGGGAAGTGCAAATAAAGGAAAGTAGAGGGAGTAGAAGGGTAAATAAGGAAAAGGAAAAGGGCAGAAGGGGCAGCACCTGAGCAGCGGAGTTTATGGGGCACTCGTGCATGGTTTTTGTTGGTATTATTATAAATAGAGAAGTGTAGCAAATGCATGGATGGAACGTTCTGGTCTTCCAAAAGCAAAATTTTCAGATCTCTCTCTCACTTTTCTCTCTGACTCACCCACACGCTCTCAGATTCTCCTGCTCTCTTACATCCCCATCTCCATCTTCCTTTTCTTTTCCTTCAATTATTGTTCTTCTCCATCCTTTCAATCCGTCCCCGACCCGGCTCTCACCCAGCCACGTTACCAGCTTCCCAGAAAGTCGAGTTCGTGTAGCTTGTGTTTCGACTTTCATGGCTCGGGTGTGGGAGGCAGTTTAGTTTCATATGAACCAACCCATCTCAATCATACACTATGAACTTGAATATCCATAACATAAAGTCAAAATCTATTAAAATTGAATTTCACATCGAGTTACTTCAAATAGTAACTAATTGTGGTCATAAAATATAAAAGTTATAACTTTTGGAATGCCTCGTCGAAAGTTAAGAGTTTTCATTTTGAGACTATATAAAGTCATGTATGTTATCTCTATGAAGAGCATTTGTGCTTTACTTTAGCCCATGACTAAGTTTCTTTACAATTTTATGGAGTTTAGAATCATTTAAGCTTGACATGATCAGTCTTATTCATAGAGTGATTCAAATCTCAACTATTATTTCCTTGAGATGTTTGATCAATAAGGTAATTCGAATCTTACTTTTCTTATAGTGATTCCTTATCATTTGATATCAAAACTTTCCTCTTTGAGTTGGTTTCTTATCACAGTTCGTATTGAGTAACGAAGAACGGGGTTAGGGATGAGTTAAAAATTGGTGTTTAATGTAGGTTGTGAGATTAATAAGGTTAGAGGTTTGTTAAGTAACAAGAGACAAGTTGAAGAAGAAAGCTGCAGACCAATTGAAAGCGTGGACCAAGTTGGTCAGAGCATGAGAACTTCTTCAAACACTTTTGATTAGCCTTTTGTACCTGTGAGTATTGAATGGCTACAAAATAAAGTTACCCCATAACATAAAATAAAATAAAATAAAATAATTAATGAACCATTCATGAGAGACAGTGATAGGGAAAGCAACAGCTCCATGTAATGCATTTAATATGTAACAAAACTTACCTCACTCTTTAATTAATGTCCCAAACACATAACATATATTCGTTCATGTTCTAACCTAATAACGCTAATATCGACCTAGATCTCATATCAATTGGAGACGGGACGAAACATTCTTTATAAGGATTGTGGAAACTTCTTCTTAGTAAATGCATTTCAAAACTGTAAGGTTGACGACGATACGTAATAGACTAAAATAAACAATATCTACTAACGGTGAGTTTGGACTGTTACACTTCACGTCACGAACAAATAAAGGGTGATGAGCGTGTTCTCAAGAGCGTATTTAACTCGTTTTAGAGCGAAATAGGAGAGAGTAGATAGGGAAAGATGGGTTTGAAAATCACATGGGGCAAATGTGGTACTGCAACACACCAACGCAAACAGGCATCCTGAGACTCTGAAACCCCTTACCCTATTCTCAGATATAGTACTTCTCTTCTTTTCAATTATTGCTCTTCCCTTTGGATTTGCTTCACCCCCTTTTAACCTAATATGAATCCAACCCCATCTTTCTTACTCTAACGCTTACGACGACCCGCGATATGATATCGTATAATTGTATGGTATTGTCCACTTTTTGTCAGCGGTATACCAATTGAGGTATGATAGAGTACAATTTCGTGCAATGTCAACCGATTAAAATTGGTTTTCTTTGATGTTAACCTCATTTTATTTAATGGGTCTTCATTATATTCTTATAGTTTTCGAGAGATACCTAATTAAACTTGTTTGAGAGCTACTTAAATTCTGTGGAGATGAACGAGTTTCAGCAAAGATAAAGGGTGGATTATGAGATCTCTTATCAATTGGAGAAGGGAACAAAACATTATTTATAACGAGCTTGGAGTAATGTTATGATCCGTAAAATAGTATAAAATCGAGTATTATCCGGTTAATATTAAAATAATAATAATAATACTCTTTTAAAATTAAAATAATAAGGAAAAAAAAAGGAGAATTTATGACCACTTTTGATCTGGGGTAGGTGGGTTGACTGGAGTTGTGATTGGTGGAAGAGAAAAGGAAGGGAAACGGCGTCGTTTAGAGAGCGCGTAGATTAAACTCCAGAAAGAGAAATGTCCCGAAAGAAAAAAAGGGAATGCGACAAGTCAAAAGGTCAGAATACTAAGCACTGTACACGTCAGCAACAGGAGGCCATTCTCACCTCGTCTTTACTCGACTTGTCGTTTGGTGGCCTCACTGCCAAACACATCAAATTTCCACTATTCCTTATTCCTATCAAAACCTGTCTTATTTTGACATCCAAACACTCCATAAGTCTGGTACACACACTAAGGAGTGTAAATGAATATTATGAACATATGAATATGGTTTGAAATGTTGACATCAAAAGTTGAAGAGCTTGAGAGATTAATAGCATAGCATAGCATTAGATGAAGAGAACATACAGAGTCTTTGTCATCGACATGGGTCCATCTCCCTGACTCCGACTGCGTAAAATCTAGCTTTTTCGTGGACGACACGATCCGAGTCTACCGCTACTCTCCCTTTTCCCTTTTTATCTCTTCTTCCTCTTCCTCTTCCTCTTCCTCGTCCTCTCCTGGAAATGGATGATCAATATTCCCTTTCCGATCTCCGCCATCTCATCACTGCCCCGCCTCGCTCTCATTTCCTTTCTTCCTCAATTCCCCACCACGATCTTGCTTCTACCGCCTTTCGCCACCACCATACCCCCTATGATCTCATTCGCTCTCAACCCACCACCGTTCTTGGTTCCACTTCCCCTACTAGCTTCGATGCTCAAACCACCACTGCTCGGTGGCCTCGCCAAGAGACTCTCACTCTCTTGGATGTCAGATCTCGCCTCGATTCTAAGTTTAAAGAAGCTAACCAAAAAGGACCACTTTGGGATGAAGTTTCTAGGTATCTACCTATTTATGTTTTTTTTTTCTGGGTTGGAGGAATTAAACCTCGTTATTTTCAAAAAAAAAAAAAAAAACAGGTTGATTTATGAACAAGTTCCAGAATTCAAGATTGGTTTTTTTTTTTTTTTTTTTTTTTTTTATTTTGAAAATGACCATACACTCTACATGAATTCAGCTGCTTTCTTGCTTAATTTTGTCTTGGAATCTACTTTTTAGAAAGAAGTGAGAGATGAGAGAAAGGAATTATGACAATATCTTTATTTTTAGTCCAAAATTTTGAAAATTTTGTGTTTTTTTTCTTAAAAAAAAAACGACCCTTTTAATGCTTCAAGAATATTGTTAAGAAAAATACCCCAAAAATAAAATTACCCAATTTTCTAAACTCAAAATTAATGAAAAATTTCGTCTTGTTCGTTGATTAAACGCAAAAAGATGATGAATTTGTAACAATTTTGGTATAAATCTATAATCTTTGAATGTTATTTTGAAATCTAGGGCTTTTTTCGTGGAAATTAATGAAATTTTTATTGTTTTTTTTTTTTTTTTTTTTTTCAGAATTATGGCTGAGGAACACAATTATCAAAGAAGTGGAAAGAAATGCAGAGAAAAGTTTGAGAATTTATATAAATATTACAAAAAGACAAAGGATGGCAAAGCTGGACGACAAGATGGCAAAAACTACAGATTCTTCAGGCAGCTTGAAGCTCTTTATGGTGAAACCAGCAATGCCACTTCACTTCCAGACTCCCATTTTGTTGGAGATGGCAACCTTATATTCCAACCAGATGGGACTAATAATCCAACTTCCGGTCACATGAGCTACGATGCTCAGCTGAAGCACTACTGCGACAGTCTCAGCCTCTCGAACACGTCCGAGTTTGAAACCTCGGCGTCGTCTGATGGTAATGACGAGTTTGGTTCGGTCAATGATTCGGTGGAGAAGAGGAGGAAGAGGCGAGCTGGGAAATGCTGGAAGGTGAAGATCAAGCAGTTTATTGACTCGCAAATGAGGAAGCTAATTGATAAGCAAGAAGCTGGGTTGGAGAAGCTCATGAAAACTCTTGAACAAAAGGAGAAGGAAAGAATGGTATTGTTCATCATTGCCTTTTAACTTCAATTTTTAATCTTTTGATTTGATTCATATTTCAATCCCACTCATTGTCGTCTAATAATATCCATGGATCATCGGAGATATTATGTAACGGTTCAAGCTCACAAATATTATCCTATTTTAGTTTTTTCTTTCGAGTCTCTCCTCGTGTTAGGGACAGGTTTTCACACCCTTATTAAGTGTGATATCACAATTTACCCGCTTTTAGGGCTCAGCATTCTCGCTGGCATACCACCCGGTGTCCACCCTTTGATACCAACAAATATTGTTCTATTTGGATTTTCTCTTTCGGGCTTCCTCTTACTAGGGAGAGTTTTTCACTCTTATTAAGTGGGATCTCACAATTCACCTGCCTTCGAGACTCAGCATGCTCGCTGGCTCACGCCCGTGTCCACCCTCATACTAGGGAGAGTTTTCCATACCCTTATAAAGTGAGATCTCACAATTCACTCACCTTTGGGGTCAACATTCTCGCTGGCACACCGCCCATGTCCACCCTCATACTAGGGAGAGATTTTCCTTTCGGGCTTTCCCTCATACTAGGGAGATGTTTCCACATCCTTATAAAGTGGGATCTCACAATCCACCCGTCTTCGGGGCTTAGCATCGTCGCTGACACACTGGCCATGTCCACCCTCTGGTACAAATTGTAACGGTATATACCCACCGCTAGCAAATATTGTTCTTTCTGGGTTTTCCCTCTCGGATTTCCCCTCAAAATTTTTAAAACGCGTCTACTAGGGAGAAGTTTCCACGCCCTAATAAAGATAATGCTTTGTTCCCCTCTCCAACAAATATGAGATGATCATATCTTAAGAAGTGGTATCAGAGTCATATATCTTGAACAAAAAAGTTACCAATTCTCTTAAAAAAAATTAGTGGACATCTCTAGCATCGATATCATGAATACTAATAGATTCTCGTATCGATGATTCATCCGGGGTTGTTCGGTCTGTTTTCAGGTATGGGAAGAGGAATGGAGGAAACAAGAAGTGTCAAGAATTGAGAGTGAGAGAAGCTTTTGGGCAAAGGAGAGAGCATGGATAGAAGCTAGAGATGCAGCGTTAATGGAGGCATTACAAAAGCTAACAGGCAAAGAGTTAATCACAGCGGAGCCTCATCCAAATGAAGATGGTAGTGAGATACTCAACAATTACCAAACAAAAACAATCGATCAAAACAACAAGAAACGCAAGGACAATTCAAGATCACCCACCACAACCTACAATCTTTACTTCCAAACTGATTCCTCGGTCTACGGCGGAGGTGGCCGTGGCCGTGGCCGTGGCCGTGGCACCGAGATGAAAGAACAAAGTCCGAACAGCTCGAACGCCGGGGGCAGTGGCAGTGGCAGCCAAGTGGTGCAAGATAGCTGCTTTTTCTTGATGGGTGAAGGAGATCAATCTCAATCTGGTTTGTGGGAGAATTTTGGGCTTAAACTCAACAATGGAAGCCATCAAACTTGACTTTGATCTAGCTTATCTAGCATGGGTAGCTGTGGGGAACGAATCATTCCTTATAAAAGCGTAGAAATCTCTTCATGTAGAAACCTCTACTTAATAGACTCATTTAAAATTGTGATGATGATAACTATGCGTAACAGATGAAAGTGAACAATGTCGATCAACACGTGAATTTGGGGTTGATTTCGAATTTGATTAATTAAAAAAATGGCATTATAATCATACATGTCTGCATGGTCAAATTTTGCTGCCATGCATGTGCTTTTTTTTTATTATTTATTCCTAATTTTCTATCTTTTAGTTCCGCAATATTGCAATAATTGATGGTAATCTTGTTTAAAACTCCAAATATTATTAAATACTATATTCTTTTTCATTTACTTTATCATATTACCATAGGTAAAATTGATTTGTATTTATAAAAGTAAAGTGAATGTAGATATTTTTATAGTATGGATATTTCTTTCGTTCAGTCGGGTTTGCGTTAGAATTATTTTAAAAATAACACGAGACCCTAAAAGTAAAGCTACGATAATGTAGATGGCAAGAGTAAATATTCTGGTAGTGTGGATACTTCTTTCGTTCAAATCTCGTTCATGTCAGAATTATTTAAAAAATAACACGAGACCCTAAAAGCAAGGCTACGATATTTATTTTCATTCAGGGTTGTTCGTGTCAGAATTATTTTAAAATCTACACGAAACCCTAAAAACAAAATTAAGAAAACGTGAATAATGAGAGTGAGTAGATATTGAGATAGGATCATAAATGCATGGGTGAAGTTGTTCAAAGCCTTCCCTTCAATAAGAAAATGTCCTTTGGAGGTGGCAGAGATAGACAAAAGAGTGTCTCCTTTACTCTGATATTGCCATTAGAGCTCCCAACAGCTTTCCTACAAATTTCAGAAATTTTATTATTAAACAAAAAACAATAAATAATTCACTTAAATCATTTTCTACAATAAATTTATTTTTATCCGAAAATTGTTGAACACAAGGATTAAAATACTAAAATGGATGAACTTTTTATGGATGTTCGAGATTTCACTAAATGTAGAATAACAAAAACATGTTTACGTCATCGTTTGTTTCGAGAAAACTTTAAGTATACGAACTAAAATGGAACTAGATATAGAAAAAGAATATAAACATGAGAAAATAAGCTTTCGAAACTATCCTAAAACACAAATAAATAAAAAACCGTCGATTAGTAAACTTTCAAAAGTGTCCTAAAACACGAACAAAAAGGTCGTTGATCGAAGTGGAATAAGGTAAAGAAGGTTAAAAGAGGCTTTAAAAAGAGGGGCAGTGATATAGTACGATGTGGAAGCGCTTTGGTCTCCACTTTTAAGTCACAAAGAGGTGTCATGGAATTGAATATCTGCCATTGTCGTACTGGTTTGAGAGTTTCTGGGCATTCAATTTTAAACTTCCACTTCACTGCACTTTCTTCTTCGTCTCCCGATGAGCCGACAATGTGTAATGGTAATGGTAAAGGGATTTGAACACAAACAAACCGAAATTTCAATTCGAGGATATAGATAAATCCCTGTTTTTCCTTTTTTTTCTTTTACAACTGAAACAGAAAACCAGCACACTCAACAATCACAGCAAAAAGCTAAACCTTCGAAGGGCTTATTTGTTGTACCTAAACATTCATAAAACACATCTCAAGATGCTCAACATACTACACCAAAGCAGCACGGAACAACAATTTTTAGTACTTATAATCCTTCTCATGAAGACTCTCAGCTGCGCCCTCACCGATCACGGCATCGCCCTTGTAAGTTCCGAGTGTTGCCTCGGAGTTCGCTTTGCACCTTGTAAGGAAAGCAACTCGGGCCTTCTCGACATTGTCGTCCTTTCCTGCCCATGCCTTGAGAGTACTCTGCTGAAGGGCACGGCCAAAGGAGAAAGACAACGACCATGGCTTCTTACCCTTTAGCTTGTTCATGGCATTCAGGTTGAGAGTTGCCTCCTCTTCACTCTGCCCACCTGACAAGAAAACGATGGCGGGAACTGCAGCAGGAACGGTGCGTTGAAGAGCTCGAACAGTGTACTCGGCGATCACTTCTGGAGCAACCTTGGCAGCCTCGGATCCAGGGGTAACCATGTTGGGCTTCAATAGAGTTCCTTCAAGGAGGACGTGGTGATCGTTGAGGGCCTTGTAGCATGCAGCAAGAACACGCTCCGTCACCTCAGCGCACTTGTCAATGCTGTGAGAACCATCAACCAGAATTTCAGGCTCAACAATTGGAACAAGACCGTTCTCCTGGCAGATAGCAGCGTATCGAGCCAATCCATAAGCATTTTCATTGATAGACAATTGTGAGGGCTCGGTAGGACCGATCTTGAGCACAGCACGCCACTTGGCAAACCTAGCACCAGCTTCATAATACTTTTGGCAGCGCTGGGCAAGGCCATCAAGACCCTGGGTGGTTGTTTCACCATTAGTACCAGCAAGTTCAACAGTACCCTTGTCAACCTTGATGCCAGGCAACACACCGCCTTCCTTCAAAACATCAACAAACGGCTTTCCTGCAGAAACAACCAGATAAAGAGAGCTTTACATCAAACACGATTGACCTAAAAACTACATTGCTCATGCTCGTGATCGACACAGCAAAAATTGGACTTCTTATTTCCTAGATTGTCAGTTTACCTGCAGCAGTCTTCTGGTAGAGAGTCTCCTCAAACAGGATAACTCCACTGAGATACTGAAGGGCACCAGGAGTGAGGAAGAGAAGTTCTCGGAGAGCACGTCTATTTGATTCAACGTTCTCGACATTGATACTTGCTAAACGTTTGCCAATGGTACCAGTTGACTCATCAGCAGCAAGGATACCCTTTCCAGGAGTGCCAATGTAGGCAGCATTGGCAATGAGCTCATCTACATAGAACAAGAAGAGAAGAAATCAACCAAAAATATTAAAACATGATATGGAGTTCATTCAGAAAGAAAGGATCTTCGTTATCAATAAAAGCATCACTCCAGAGTTCAGCAAGTTCATGACATGATCCATATGAACAAACATATATAACAAATAAGCATTATAGAACTACAAAGACATAACAATGTTTAATATATTCAAAATCCATGACTGAATTACATTCATCAGTTTGCACATGTTCTTAGTTTTAGATTCCTTCTTCACCAAATAGACAGCTTCAATCTATTGAAAGAACATAGTGGAATCTTTGAATAGAAAGAAACCAGAAAATTCTATAGAAAGAAAAATTGTCACAAATTCAATAGAAAGTAAAGATCTTGTAACTGAAGTTAAAAAGTAGGATCAGTAATTGAGCTGTTCAGAAATCTCAACCAGCGATCTGTTATTGTGATCTTGTCACTTGAAAACTCTATCCCAACCATAGTCAAGATCAACTTCTACATACCCAAATAATGATATTGAAACTGCAAAAATCAACGTAAAATTCCATATACGGTCAAGAAAACTGTAATTTAAACTATAATGAAATCAAATCTAAAAAAAAGTAGTAATATTGAAGTTAATGTTGTATGCATGAGTTATAACATGTCATAGGGCAGATCAAAGTATAAAAATAAAATAAAAAATTAAGAAAAATCATTGAAGTCAAGAACTAAACGATGAATCGTGGCTAAAATAGATTAAAACCCCTTATAAATAATGAAACAGAGAATAACCTGACAGAATCAAGTAAAATAACTCTAGATCTCAACAGAAAAACACAGGGAAACATAGTAATCATCAAAACAGAGCCTCATCACTCCGATTACTAGCAACAGAAGAACATAGAACCGAACAAACACTCCAGATCCGAGAAACTAAATCAAGAGACATAAATCAACCAAACAAAAAGACATAAAAAACAACCCGATCAAGCAGAAATACGAACAAAAAAACCCCAAAATGTCACTGTGATCGAAACAGAAAAGCAGAAGTTCGAAGAATTAGAGAAAGGGGAGAATTACCCTGGTACTTGCTCTTGAAGGAAGACATTTCCAAACGGAAATGAGGATTGAAGAAGCAGAGTGGAGAAATGGAAACAGAGAGAGAGAGAGAGAGAGCAGTGAATTGAACGAAGAATTCCGGCAGCTCTGCGTTTATATTAAGCGGTTCGGGAGAGACAAAAAAAGGGGCTTTTAGAGAGAGAGAGAAAGAGAGAGATTATCGCCACTTGTTTTGGCGTTTTCTTTTTCCCCAAGAAAATATGGATTTTTCATTTAACACAAAGATTACTGCGATTTTACCACTTTACCCTTCTTGTCTTGGATCGTAAAAGAATATTCCAGAACTTCCAATTATTATATATTAATTAAGTTTAATTATTTTCTGTTGCTAAATAAGTACCATCGGTCAGTTGGTGCATAGTTGTTGAGATATATATATATATATATATATTGAAAATTTCACTTTAAAAATGATTTTTAAGAATAGTTGGATAATAAATAATTAAAATAAAATAAATAAAAATTCATAAAATTATACCCTACAATAAATTTTTAGAATAATTGATAGACCAATCTAATTCATAAAATTTTAATTTATTTTGAACTTAATTTATTTGCTCTTCAACGACGATGTTTATAAAGTCTCAAATTTTGATGTTAAAGTCATTAGGCAATTATAACATAAGACTAATATCTATGAATATTCTTAAATGTTAAATTTAGTTGACTCTAAATATTTTCTTTATGTATTAATTATATATATATATATGCATGACGTACTAAAACATACCTAGACTTTAATATTTTAAATTAGGCTATTAATTTAATTTTTGAAACAGAGTAATAATATAATTTAATATATTTTATTTTATTTTTCTAAGAAAAAAATATATATTATATCTTTTTTACACCTCATATGAATTAAATTAGTGGTAATTTGCGCATGCTTGATGATGCTGCCATTGTGTCAATGCCCTTTCCACTCATTATAAACATCTTTCTATTTATAAATGTTTATTTATAAGATAAGTATAAGTATATGTTTTTATTTATAGACATAATTTGAATTTCTAGTATTTTGATTATAATGTGTTTAAAAATATGAAATAATTTTATATTTTAAATAAATTTAACCTGCAATATAATTAATAATTAAGGTAAAGATAAAATTTTATTAAGAGATCTATAAAATGACATTAAAAAAATGTGTTCAAACGTTTTTGGGCCGGCCTGAAATTTTTTAGCCAAACAGTGGCCCAAAAGCCCATTTTGCTATTTCACTACCAACCGTCCTATTTTAAAAATAAAAATTATGTTTTTTAATTTTTAAAATTTAACTTGGATTTTTTAGGTGTAACTAATGAAAAAAATTGTTTAAATGTATTTTAATCTATCAAAATATTAATAATTTTATTATAAAAATTATCACTTTGATCGATGTTTTTTTTTTTTTTTTTAATATAATGTTTTACATCTTTTAATATAATTAATTAGAAAATAAATTCAGTTCAATTTCGAAGTCATAAAACAAAATTTGGTGCTAACTTGAATCGAGAAGAATTTAGCGTATTAGTGCAGGTCAAACAAATTTTAAATGATTGAATTTCTAATTTTATTATGAAAATAATTAATAAAAAAACAATTAAACTCATTTATTATTTATATAAGTGACATACAAATATACAATTTTTGCATATGAATCTATACATGAAAAAAAACAACATAAGAAAAGAAAATGAAATAATTCAAACTAAAAACAAAAAAATAAAAAAAAAACCCAAAAATCAAATCAAATCAAAATCAATGAGGATGGTTAGAAGCTCGAATCAACAGAGAAAACCCATTCCTCTCTTGCTTCGTCTTCTCCTCCACCCATAGCCGACTGTCCAATCCACTCCTCCTCCTGAACATAAACGCCGCCGTCGCCGTCGCCGCTGCATGTTCCGGCCGGAAAAGCCATTCATAGACATCCCACATCATGTCCACCACCGACCCATCTACAAAAATCGTTTGATTCCCTCGGAAATTCCACCTCAATCTCTTCACTTCAACCACCTGTTTCTTGTCGACGAACACCGCAAGCCTCTGGTTTCTCAAATCCTCTCCGCCAACGCCGCCGCACATGACTAGAATCTCATGGAGGCTACCGGCATCGGAGAATCTAGCCTTGGTCAAAAAAACCAAATCATTGCCGGAAAACTCCTCTGTTCGAGAAACCAAAGAGAATTTCACGAACTGAGCATCGAATTTCCTTTCCAAAATCCCCAATTTCACCAACTTATCCCTCTCGTCGCCGATCAACAACCCGATTTCAGAATCCACCGTAACGACGACGTAAAAGCCACTGGTGGGTTCGGGTCCGGCGTCGAACTGGGCCTCCGAGATGTCCCAGAAGACCGAAATCACAGAATCGTTCACCGATTTGAAGGATTTGAGGCCCTTTCCGGTGAGGATTCGATGGGAAAGTGAATTGATTTTGATGGTAAAGGATTGACCCATTTCCTCGGAAGTCCAGTGGAGGTGAATTAGCAGAGGATTTTGGAGGGTTGAAATATTGGCTGTGTAAGTGGAAGAAACGGAAACAGGGGAAGTGGGAGATGGGAATTTGGAGAAGACGACATGGGGATGAGGGAAGGCGGCGGAGCAATATGAATCGGAGACTTTGACGGCGTGTTCACTGTAACAAGCAGCAATGTTTCTCCTCATCAGGAACAAGAACAACAACAACAACAAGAAAGAAAGGGATAATTGAAAATTTGAAGGTGTTTTTTGTGTTTTAAATGGGGAAAAAGGAGAGAGGAATAATTCTTTGTTTGCCTAAGAATCAAGAAAAATGGGATATATATATATATATATATATATTTTAAGGATGAGGGTGAAAAATTCAACTTAATTAATAAAAACAACCCACTTTTATAAAAAAAAAAGTTAATAGGATGTTTAAAAAATATCTATAAGATCAATACTTATTGTTTCCCAACTTTTTAAGGTTATTTTTTAAATAGAGTACAAGCTAATTTTTTAAATTATTTTTAAAAGTATTAATTAAACTTGTAAAAATTCAAACTTATTCTCCAAACAAGTTTGAAAGTTAGAGTATTTTTTAAATAATTTTGAACAAAATATTAATCGTTTCTAGTGAAGTTTTCTTTTAGGTATTTTTAAAATTTAAATATATTACTCAAAATTTCTAAAATTTATAGATATTTTTTTTAGAGAAAATGTTAAATTAAATAGTATTATATATATATATAAGTCATCTTTAAATTTTTTGAAAGAATTATTAGATAAAAATATTATTTTGAAATTCATTTCACGAATTGTTAATAGTACAATTAGGTTATTGTTGTATTGTCGAATTTTCTAAAAGATATTTAGAAAAAATATTCCTATGATATTTTTTTATTGCATTAATAATGATGAAAAATAATGTGTGGATAAGGCCAAAGTTTTGTGTGTGTGTTTTTTTTTTTTTTTTTTTTTATATT